CACTTGTGCTTGTTAGGTATTCTCACCTATTTCAGTTACTTGTGAGCTCTGTATATAAGCACGCTTTCGGCGCTGTGGAGAGGGAAGGGGGACTTGCTGCATGGGTAACAGCTTGCCTCCCGTATCAGCCTACCCTGGCTTTGCGCCCTGGAGAGGCCACTCCACACCGATAACCAGAGCGCAACTCCATAGTCTCCTGAGACTGATGGATGCCTGCTAGTACTTATGTGGTACCCATTTCTTTTGTAATACTCTTCAAAACGGCGTTTTGTCTTAAGCTGAAAGAAACACCCGCCAGACTTAAATATCTTAAGGCTCGTGTGCATTTTGCAGCATCTCATAAAACAGGTGAGTGTGTTTGGAAGGCCCTGGCAGATGGCCCTGATGGATGATTGATAAAGATTAAGCCACCCAAAAGGTGGCACGGGCATGAATAGCCCATAAGATGGCCCCCCTCCCCTGGCTCCCGTCTTGTATAAATATTACCAGCGAGGTGAACACTCCGTTAATGTCACCCTTGGAGCTTCCTTTCATTCATCTCAACAAAAGACATTTTAAACACCTGTCATTGTCTTCAAAGTTATCTGTTATCTTTTTTTTGGTATTGTTATCTAAGGCTTCATGGCTTTTGTCATTGGTCTCTTTTATGTTTAAACTTTTATTAGCATATATATATATATATATATATATATATATATATATATATATATATATATATATATATGTCGTACCTAGTAGCCAGAACGCACTTCTCAGCCTAATATGCAAGGCCTGATTTGCCTAATAAGCCAAGTTTTTATGAATTAATGTTTTTTCGACTACCTAACCTAACCTAACCTAACTTTTTCGGCTACCTAACCTAACCTAACCTATAAAGATAGGTTAGGTTAGGTTAGGTAGGGTTGGTTAGGTTCGGTCATATATATATCTACGTTAATTTTAATTCCAATAAAAAAATTGACCTCAAACATAATGAAATGGGTAGCTTTATCATTCCATAAGAAAAAAATTAGAAAAAATATATTACTTCAGGAAAACTTGGCTTATTAGGCAAATCAGGCCTTGCATAGTAGGCTGAGAAGTGAGTTCTGGCTACTAGGTACGACATATATGAATATATATATATATATATATATATATATATATATATATATATATATATATATATATATATATATTCACTGATTTGCATACCAGGTTACTGTCCTGCAAGGTAGGTCTACTCGGCTGAGTCCTGTAGCTTTCTCTTTTGCAAAGTAGAAAATTTGTTGAGAAAAATTATTAATTTTGTCGAAATATAAAGAAAATCGTATGATTCGATACTGTTTGCTAATATCAGTTTCTGAATACATATATATGATTTAAATTAATTATTTTTTGTATAAGTAGACATCACCAAACCAGTAATGATGTCATTGTTGGTGCGTTAGCATTATGACAATAATGTTATGTATCACTTGTTGCAAACATTGTTTCTGAATTTGACGACTGTAATGATTTTGAAATCGTTGAGATCTACAGTCTCTAAATTTAAGTCTTGTGTATACAGTATATAAGTATAGATATATCACATGCTATAATGACTTTATCTTAGATAAATAAATAAAACATTTGAATTATTATAGACATTGATTATTGAAAAGCTGATCTCTTTGCCATGCAATCAAATGAGTTTATTGCCATAGAAAAGCTAAAAAAAAATATGCAAAACTTTTTCCCCTGGAAACACAAACCGAAACTGTCTCTATTATCCGCTTGTAACAACTTGTAATAAAGTTGTTACATCTTGGCTTAACGTGTTTATGACGTATTAGAACGTTGTTACAACTTGCTATATTGGTTGTTATAACTGGTTAGGAGGTGTTAAAACTTGCTCGAACGTGGTAGCAACGTCGTAGTTTCGGTGTGTGTTTGTTTGGCGGGTTCCTACCTTTTAGAGGAGGGAAGACGAGTAAGTCTTGCATTTATCGTGAGCAACTTCACCACCTTCATGTCCTGGTCAGTGTGGAGGAGCATGTGCCAATCTCAAGATGGTTATCTTGAGGTTATCTTGAGATGATTTCGGGGCTTTAGTGTCCCCGCGGCCCAGTCCTCCTTCACGAAACAATCGAAATCGTACTTGATAACAGTGGAAGATAGTGAGATGTGATAATTAGATATCTCAACCACTATCGCTGCGACGATTATTCTGATTCAAGAAATATATCTTAATTCCAATACATTATTAACAAAATTCAGCATTGGAGTAAAATAGCAGTAAATAGGTACCTGGGAGTTAGTCAGCTGTCACGGGCTGCTTCCTGGGGGTGGAGGCCTGGTCGAGGACCAGGCCGCGGGGACACTAAAGCCCCGAAATCATCTCAAGATAACCTCAAGATAACCTTGGAGCAAATTAGGGAATTGACGTTACTTCACGTAAGTCTGAAGGGTAATATAAGTCGTAAGAGTTAATCTGGATGGAGTGAATGTCTCAACAGTGGTGCTGTTCACTTGAGACAGTTAAGCAAGTCCCAGCTGTGTCTGGGTGCAAGTGACAGGATGAACAACCCAGCGGGTTTTCTTCCTATTGGGGAGTGTTGTACACGCTGCTATGGTGGTGTGTCCACTCACAAGATGAGTGGCGCTGCCCAATACTGTCACTATGGCGGTATGTCCACTCACAAGATGAGTGGCGCTGCCCAATACTGTCACTATGGCGGTATGTCCACTCACAGGATGAGTGGCGCTGCCCAATACTGTCACTATGGCGGTGTGTCCACTCACAGGATGAGTGGCGCTGCCCAATACTGTCACTATGGCGGTGTGTCCACTCACAGGATGAGTGGCGCTGCCCAATACTGTCACTATGGCGGTGTGTCCACTCACAGGATGAGTGACGCTGCCCAATACTGTCACTATGGCGGTGTGTCCACTCACAGGATGAGTGGCGCTGCCCAATACTGTCACTATGGCGGTATGTCCACTCACAGGATGAGTGGCGCTGCCCAATACTGTCACTATGGCGGTGTGTCCACTCACAGGATGAGTGGCGCTGCCCAATACTGTCACTATGGCGGTATGTCCACTCACAAGATGAGTGGCGCTGCCCAATACTGTCACTATGGCGGTGTGTCCACTCACAGGATGAGTGACGCTGCCCAATACTGTCACTATGGCGGTGTGTCCACTCACAGGATGAGTGGCGCTGCCCAATACTGTCACTATGGCGGTATGTCCACTCACAAGATGAGTGGCGCTGCCCAATACTGTCACTATGGCGGTGTGTCCACTCACAGGATGAGTGGCGCTGCCCAATACTGTCACTATGGCGGTGTGTCCACTCACAGGATGAGTGGCGCTGCCCAATACTGTCACTATGGCGGTATGTCCACTCACAAGATGAGTGACGCTGCCCAATACTGTCACTATGGCGGTGTGTCCACTCACAAGATGAGTGGCGCTGCCCAATACTGTCACTATGGCGGTATGTCCACTCACAAGATGAGTGGCGCTTCCCAATACTGTCACTATGGCGGTATGTCCACTCACGGATGAGTGGCGCTGCCCAATACTGTCACTATGGCGGTGTGTCCACTCACAAGATGAGTGGCGCTGCCCAATACTGTCACTATGGCGGTGTGTCCACTCACAGGATGAGTGGCGCTGCCCAATACTGTCACTATGGCGGTGTGTCCACTCACAAGATGAGTGACGCTGCCCAATACTGTCACTATGGCGGTGTGTCCACTCACAAGATGAGTGGCGCTGCCCAATACTGTCACTATGGCGGTGTGTCCACTCACAGGATGAGTGGCGCTGCCCAATACTGTCACTATGGCGGTGTGTCCACTCACAGGATGAGTGGCGCTGCCCAATACTGTCACTATGGCGGTATGTCCACTCACAAGATGAGTGGCGCTGCCCAATACTGTCACTATGACGGTGTGTCCACTCACAAGATGAGTGACGCTGCCCAATAAACTCGCCCCCTCGGGGCAAAATTTAAAATTTAAATTTCTGATTATCTATCCTCGGACAACAATCACGCACATCACATATATGATTGTGAACCACATATATGATTGTGAACCACATATATGATTGTGAACCACATATATGATTGTGAACCACATATATGATTGTGAACCACATATATGATTGTGAACCACATATATGATTGTGAACCACATATATGATTGTGAACCACATATATGATTGTGGTTCGAGTCTATAGGAGCTCTGCGCCTCAGAAATAACATAAAATGACATGAATATTTCATTGAGATTTCTTTGGATCACAAAATGTGTTGGGGAGCCGGTGGCTGAGCGAACACAACACTAGACGCATGATCCTGTGGTCCCGGGTTCGATCCCGGGCGCAGGCGAGAAACAATAGACAGAGTGTCTTTCACCCCTGATTCCCCTGTTACCTAGCAGTAAATAGGTACCTGGGAGTTAGTCAGCTGTCACGGGCTGCTTCCTGGGGATGGAGGCCTGGCCGCGGGGACACTGAGCCACGAAATTATCTCAAGATAACCTCAAGATAACCCCCTCTGGCGAAACGCCAAAGAAACCTTTCTTTCTCCCTCTCAGATGATATTGGGGGAAAATAACGAGTCTCTTGGGTGCCTAAGGGGCTCTGTGAACCTAGAGGAACTAGACCTTAACTGGTTACAGTCAGGGCGGCAGCCCTTGGCCAGTTATCCTTACAAGGGTTACTGTGTTTACATTACAGACTGGAGTACAAGCTGGTTTCTGTAATTGCGATTTCTTATTTACTCTCGCAAAGACACTGTTGTTAAGGGGGAATGTTGCTGTTAGGTGGGCTTGAATTGCTGGTTTTCCAATAGGAGTGGGCAGGTGGGGGCATGGGAGGTGGTACAGGTCATCTACCTGGGGGCATGATAAGTATGATGATGATGATGATAATGATGATGAAAATCATCATCGTTCCACCTCATACGTAAGATCATCCCCATGTCACCTTAAAGGGGGGGTTAAGCATGTAGGTCATAAGTATAATGACCCTTAAGGTAAGTACATGTTATATATAAGTATGATGAACAAGTGGAATTGTTCTTCAAGAACAAATACACCAAAAGATATCCAAACACTCCAACCTTAAGAACTTGGCTGGATATAACCAGCTAGTCCTCCCTTCCTTGTAGATACTGATTGGTTAGCATTGGCAGGTAGACACATGTGTCTCTGACAGATGTGACACATGTGTCACATGTGTCACATGTGTTGCCGAAACAGCAGCGAAGTGGACACATAATTAGAGCCACGACACCTCGAAGTGCAGCAGATGGCGTCCACTTACCAAACGAGATTGAAACATGAAATCTAAATGAAAAAACATCATTAAATAACAACTATGTATTTTCTCTCGCTCTGAACTGCCTAAATTCGCATCTAACTTTAAACACCAATGGTATATATCAATGTTAAAACAGACACGTGATAAGATATAGATACTATGATCATTAATGTTGATGTAGGGAATGAGATATAGATACGATGTTCATTCATTTTGATGCAGGGAATTAGATATAGATACTATGAGCATTAATTTTGATGCAGGGAATAGTTGTAAAAGACACAGACGATGATTTAGTCATCTGACCATCAATAGTGTGATGTTTATGCTCACACGAGGTCGCGGTGTGTTGCAGTATATATATATTAAATATATATTATATATATATTAAATATATATTATATATATATAAATATATAAATACAAATATATATTAAATTTAAGCTTTGTTTATATAACGTATTTATTTGGAAAAAAAAATATAATTTAGTTCGGTAAACGTAGCCTAATATGCTAATCTTTTACAATTGGCTAGAAATTGGGGATATTTGGTTTTATCAGCGACTTAATTCTTCAATGAATATTTTAGTGCTATGACGAAACAAATAATAAGTGAATGAAATAATAATACAAACATTAGCCTAATAACTAATTAGTTTGGAGACAATTTGGTTTTAATCACTTACGTTACATATAATCACTTATAATCTCAATTTGATTATAATCACAAGCGACACTATAGTATCGGAGAGATTAATTAAGGTAATTAATGATCATAATGATAATAATGTTTAGTAAGATAATCCATTAGTAAGATAATGATCCAAAATATAATCTGTTCTCTCCTATTTTGACAAAAGCAAACGGACCAAATATGATGTACTATAAATCATAGCGGCTCGCTAAATTGAGGGGCGGTCACGTTTTCTGTTCGTTGGTCCACGGTTTGGTTAGGTTAGGGCAATTTAGAATTTTTTTTGACGTGACAACTCAACTTGAGACACTGTAACAATGCCACTAAATATACACTTACAAGGGAAAATATAATTTATATGCAAATGAATTAGGAATGTGGAAGTCAATCTGGAACAACAATTCATCAAAGTATTAAGAACGGTTAACAAGCAAACAAGCAAAGTAAAACAGAAATTATGTTCATAAGGCAGCTGGACAGGCAAAGACAAATTCTTAAAGTTTTCAGATTTTTCAAAGTTTTCAGATTTTTCAAAGTTTTCAGATTTTTTAAAGTTTTCAGATATATTTTCAGATATATCAAAGACGAATTCTCAAGGGATCTTTCAGATTTTTCAAAGTTTTCAGATTTTTCAAAGTTTTCAGATTTTTCAAAGTTTTCAGATTTTTCAAAGTTTTCAGATATATTTTCTGATATGCAGGCGATGAGTCACAATAACGTGGCTGAAGTATGTTGACCAGACCACACACTAGAAATTGAAGGGACGACGACGTTTCGGTCCGTCCTGGACCATTCTCAAGTCGATTGTAGATTGATATATTTTCTGATATATCAAAGATAAGGGATAAGATTAGACTAATGAAGAATGTGGCTGGACAGGTAACTCCTCACCTGTCATCGTGTTTTGAAGTCAAAATTTCCAACCTCATAGTAAAACGTACTGGTACCGTTACGGGCTATTCATGCCCGTGCCACCTCTTGGGTGGCTTAATGTTCATCAATCAATCAGTACTAGAACTTACAAAATAAGAGAAGATGTTCAGTTGTTCACGAGTGAACAACTTGTAAATATTGAACAACTGAATGTTCAACTTGTGAACAACTGTATGAATGAACAACTTGTGAACCTTGCAAATATTGCACAGGGACGTGACTGGAGACCCAAATGAACACTTGAAGAAGTGTGAAATGTGAAACTTGACGAGAAAATGTTTCTAGAAATGAAACTAGAAAATGTTTCTAGAAATGAAACTAGAAAATGTTTCTAGAAATGAAACTAGAAAATGAGAAAATTTCCCAATAGGGAAAATATAATCTGTTAAGTCTGTGGTGAAGATAAGAAGGTCCTTCGCCTCGCCTCCAAACGAATGCATGAGAGAGATTGCAAATTATATTTGTCAACCTTGAAAAGAATTATTAACTTGTTCATATATCTGAATTTCCATATCTGAAGTTTGAGAGGTCAAGAAGTTAGACTTCTTAGTCTTCCTCTAAAATACATAGTGCATCATATGCTTGTTACACATTAAACTTTAATTGTATTGTTATTTGCTCCAATTTCAGTATAATTCCTGAATTTGCAGAGTGGTATTCGGAGTCAAGTAACTATTTTCTTGAGGGCCGTTGGGACAATTTCTTGGGAACAAGTAATGAAATTTTCATTATGCAAATATATACCCAATATGTTGACCAAACCACACACTAGAAAGTGAAGGGACGACGATGTTTCGGTCCGTCCTGGACCATTCTCAAGTCGATTGTGAATAGATTTGACAATCGCCTCGAGAATGGTCCAGGACGGACCGAAACGTCGTCGTCCCTTCACTTTCTAGTGTGTGGTTTGGTCAACATATTTCAGCTACGTTAGTGTGACTCCTTGTCTGTATACCCAATATATTTTTATATATAATAGAGGTCGCAGGTAAGAATGTTGGGATATGCCACTTGTTAATGGTCCTGTTTTCTAATAGCCAATTAAACATATCCTATTCTAATATTGAGCCATCGATACCAAGTGAGTCAGTGCTGAAAGTATTTCTTGTTCGCTAAATAGTCTCTAGCGCCGATATCCAAGTGGGTAAATAGGTGAATAAGGATGTTTAATGGTCAGAAAAAAATATTTTAAGTGATGAAAGCAAGTTGAAGTGACAAATTAACAAGAAAATGTAGAGAAAGGAATAAGGAATACATAAGAGACAATGCGAATTAACTAAGGGAAACTAAGGCAAAATTTACTGAGGATGTACATTGGCAAATGTACCATAAATGATGGAATAGATCAATACAATTAGAAGGAATCGAATATTTTTCCAGATTTTAAGGTCGTTAATGAGGCGAAACTTTGTCCGTAACAAGATTCACATTATTTCCAGGTGCTCATAGAATTTCTATTTTCAACGATTTTCTATAATTGTGCAAAACAACTTTATAGAGATAACTTAATCAACAATGCAGATATGCATTCAAACCCTTATATAGATGGAGTCAGGCCACCCAGGGGATGAAGTCTGTTCCTTCCTTAATTGGAGTCAGGATTTCTTCGAGATGGAGCAAGTTTCACCTGAAAATAAAGGGCATCCCATTAACCGTCTCGAGGCGTTCCTAAGACAGAATCACGTCCAGCAGACGATAACGTTACGGGATTTCCGACGCCGAGTCAGGCCTTCCAAGAGTTGAAATATAATCGTCAGAAATTGGACGAGGGGAACGAACAAACTTTTACACCCTTTTCACTATCACTAGTCCCTCAAGTGGTGAGTTTGTTGAGCCTTCACTATCACTAGCCCCTCAAGTGGTGAGTTTGTTGAGCCTTCATCATCACTAGCCCTCAAGTGGTGAGTTTGTTGAGCCTTCACTATCACTAGCCCCCTCAAGTGGTGAGTTTGTTGAGCCTTCACCATCACTAGCCCCTCAAGTGGCGAGTTTGTTGAGCCTTCACCATCACCAGCCCTCAAGTGATGAGCTAAATTGAACATTTGCTTCAACTACAGTATTTTGACTCCAGTTCTTCAAATCTTCTCCAGAATAAACTGAACTCCACTCTTGCCAGAGAAGAAATTTACTCCTAACGCAAAGATTCAGAACCCCATTAAGCCAGTTTCGCCAGCATCATTAACATCTCATAAAAGTTGTTACTAACTAAAAAGCCAGATCCTCGCCTGACGGTAATCAGCTGCAAGAAAAAGGCGTCTAACCACGAGTGTTTATCATTGCCAGAAGGGACTCGAATCCTCTCTAGGATGGAGTCTGATTCTCTCTGGGAGTTTAGATTCCTCATTAGTCACTTCGTCGTTCTTGGAGGTGTTTCTACTAGAACGACGAGTTCCGAATTCGTATCCCAATTCCCTCTAGAAGGTACCCCAGCTCGGCGCTACAAGAAAACCAGGTAATGAAATTTATTATTAGCATCTTTATTGACAAAATTAATTACAAATGAACAAATTGACCATGTCGTAGCTCAGTCGATTAAGGCAGCGTTTGGGATGCTCTCGGACACAGGTTCGAATCCTCGTCACGGCCCTTGTGGATTTGTTCATATGATGCATCACGCAATTGTGATTTCTGTGTGTAGTGTAGTAAAATTAATTACAGTTTTGCCTAATCTGCGGATTTCAATTAAGTCTTATTAAAGTGAGGATAATGCTGGTATTCAATGTCACGCAGGACAGAGGGTCATACACAAGACAATAGGTCTAAACTGTAGGCTGAAGCACATATATATATCATGGTTACAATCAATGTTTTAATGTATGAATATGTGAAAACCACTTTCTATTGTGCACTGCCACACAAGGGCAGGGATGTGCACTGCCACACAAGGGCAGGGATGTGCACTGCCACACAAGGGCAGGGATGTGCACTGCCACACAAGGGCAGGGATGTGCACTGCCACACAAGGGCAGGGATGGGTTCATAAGCGATGCAGCTTAGAAGTAATATGCATAAAAAAAACTTAATTCTTTAAAATGGACAAGCAAATTTTGGATAACTTGTTAGGATGTTGGTCAGAACACCTGAGTCAATGAAATAATTACATAGTTGGTGGTACAATAGGCCAGGAGGTCTAAAGTACTTTACGGTTTTACATTCAACAATACAGTGTTCTAGTGAATGCGTTAGAGGTTTATCACAGAGTTTACAATCTGAATATTCTGGTAGTGACTCAGCCTCACTTACCTGCCAGATGTGTCTATAGCCAAGGCGAATTACAGCAATGACTACATCACATTGCCTGGTCCGGTTACTGTGCTGACCATACAAATACCTATTATTACAAAAGTTGTCATAACTTTTAATACTGCAGCTTTCAGGTCTCTGGGCATTTCTTAGTAATTCTAAATCTGAATTAATTTCTTTAATTTGTATGTTTCTAATAACTGCATTAGATAGTCCAAAGTCATAATCAATGTTTTCTTCCCTGCAAGCCTCATTGGCCAATCGATCTACAAAGTCATGTTTTCCAACTCCAACATGGGATGGGATCCACACAAATTTTATACAAGAGTTATTATCATTGGCAAAAATTACATTCCATTTAATATCACAAGCTACTTCAGACATACATTGACATGGGTTATTTAAGGACTGCAGAACACTTTTAGAGTCACAGAATATCACTCCACCACTATTGAGCTTAAGGTACTCAGTGGCTAGATAAATACCCAATACCTCAGTCTGTGTCGTGCCTGCCCAGTTGATGCATGGGAGAGGCTAGGAGTGATCTGAAGACACTTCATGTGACAGGAGCGCTGGGAAAGATACATCAGGTGATGAGAGTGATGTGATATGTCCCAATATCACGCACGAGTCACCTAACATACACACACACACACACACACACACACACACACACACACACACACACACACACACACACACACACACACACACACACACACACACACATAGAAAGAATTTTTTGTGTCAGAGTAGTTAACAAATGGAATACATTAAGTAGTGATGGTGGAGGCTGACTCCATACACAGTTTCAAGTGTAGATATGATAGAGCCCAGTAGGCTCAGGAACCTGTGCACCAGTTGATTGACAGTTGAGAGGCGGGACTAAAGAATCGAAGCTCAACCCCCGCAAGCACAACTAGCTGAGCACACACACACACACACACACACACACACACACACACACACACACACACACACACACACACACACACACACACACACACACACACACACACCTCTCGCATAAGCAACAACCACCGAACCAATACAAACACAAAACAAGACCTTGATGCAAATTAAGGTAAACAAACATACTCTTTCCTTTTAATTTGTTGATTAAAAAGCCACGTGGGACCGCGGGGAGGCGAAGGTAAGCTCTTGTTTACACCACAATGTTCACTATTACCTCAATACCACCAGTGTTAAATGGCACAGAAGAATTACAAGCTTGGACTTATGGCGGCTACAAGCGCTCCGCTTGAGCACATCGACAGCTTACAATGCTTGCGTAAGCTTATTAACCAAACACATAAATGGAGATTAAGGCTTTCTTTGCATTTTTTATTGAAGCGATTACGAAATAAAGGAAAAAACACGCCACTCCGAATGTCAGATTGGAACCAACAGCGGCAGAATTGACTTCAATAATGTGTGTGGTTAAATAAATAAATAAATAAATAAATATATATATATATATATATATATATATATATATATATATATATATATATATATATATATATATATATATATATATATATATATATATATATATATTATTATTTTGTGCACATATGCAGAAGTCAGTCATTGTACTCACCTAGTTGTGCTTGCGGGGGTTGAGCTTTGGCTCTTTGGTCCCGCCTCTCAACTGTCAATCAACTGGTGTACAGATTCCTGAGCCTACTGGGCTCTATCATATCTACATTTGAAACTATATATGGAGTTTGCCTCCAACATATTTTTTTATTTATTTATTTATTTATTTATTTATTTATTTATTTATTTATTTATTTATTTATTTATTTATTTATACAAGCGTTCTTACATTCTTGTACAGCCACTAGTACGCACAGCGTTTCGGGCAGGTCCTTAATCTTAATATTTCCCTGAATACGACTCGCCAAATTGTTTAACAACCAGGTACCCATTTTACTGCTGGGTGAACAGAGGCTATGGTTAAGGATTGGGGCTGCACTCACTGACGTCATTATGGCTGGCGCTGCACTTACACTGACGTCATTATGGCTGGCGCTGCACTTACACTGACGTCATTATGGCTGGCGCTGCACTTGTACTGACGTCACAAGACGGTGCGCATTAACCAATCACACGCACACTTCCTCCCCCTCAACCAATCACACACACGCTCACATATGTCAGCCAATCACGCTGGAGAGAAATAATTCTCCAGAAGCCCTTAAAAGAAATACTCATCCATTATTTCAGGAGGCGGGACATTATTTACAAATAGTAAATAGTACAAATAGTAAAAAAAAAAAACAGCTTGCAACACGGATGAAAGTTGCAAGTCAACAGCAACGTGGATCTACATAGAAAGCAAGAAGTCAACCAGTTCACCCACCATCACAGCAAGAAGTCAACCAGTTCACCCACCATCACAGCAAGAAGCAACCAGTTCAACCACCATCACAGCAAGAAGTCAACCAGTTCACCCACCATCACAGCAAGACTGCAAGCAACAGTACGCAACAGTGAACATAGTCATGGATTCATAAGGAATAATGATACGTAAGCAACACGGAGCAACGTTGCTACGTTGCTTACAACGTAGCAACGTGTAAGCATACGTAAGCAACAAGGAGCAACGCAGACAGCAACAAGGAGCAAAGCAGACAGCAACACGGAGCAACGTAGCAACACGGAGCAACGCAGACAGCAACAAGGAGCAACGCAGACAGCAACAAGGAGCAACGCAGACAGCAACACGGAGCAACGTAGCAACACGGAGCAACGCAGACAGCAACACGGAGCAACGCAGACAGCAACACGGAGCAACGCAGACAGCAACAAGGAGCAACGCAGACAGCAACACGGAGCAACGCAGACAGCAACACGGAGCAACGCAGACAGCAACACGGAGCAACGCAGACAGCAACACGGAGCAACGCAGACAGCAACACGGAGCAACGTAGCAACACGGAGCAACGCAGACAGCAACACGGAGCAACGCAGACAGCAACACGGAGCAACGCAGACAGCAACAAGGAGCAACGCCGACAGCAACACGGAGCAACGCAGACAGCAACACGGAGCAACGCAGACAGCAACAAGGAGCAACGCAGACAGCAACACGGAGCAACGCAGACAGCAACACGGAGCAACGCAGACAGCAACAAGGAGCAACGCAGACAGCAACACGGAGCAACACAGACAGCAACACGGAGCAACACAGACAGCAACACGGAGCAACACAGACAGCAACACGGAGCAACGCAGACAGCAACACGGAGCAACGCAGACAGCAACACGGAGCAACGCAGACAGCAACACGGAGCAACACAGACAGCAACACGGAGCAACACAGACAGCAACACGGAGCAACACAGACAGCAACACGGAGCAACACAAAGAAGCAGCAACACACCGCAGGAGCAAAGAACAGATGTGTCACACAATGCAACAGACGCAATATCGAGAAAGCGTTCTTTCTTGACCACTGACGTCGACCTTGACGTCCCTGTCATCTCAGCGACGTCGAGGTTGCCCCCCGAACGTCACCGAAACGACGTAGTCAACCGCTAACTAAAATGTCTGACGTCAAATATAATTGATACTTTTTATAAGTTACTCCTTCGAAGAAACTCTTAGCAATTTTCATTTAATATAATATTTGCATCTAAGAATTATTTCATTCCAGCAAATATAAAAAATTTAAGGGTTCGTGACATTTTTTTTTAATATCTTATGTCTCTGTTTATTAGTTTGCAGTCAAATAAATGCAGGCAAATGCTGGCAAATAAATACTTTGCAGTCAATTACGTTGGCAAAGCAAATATTTGCAGTCTTGTTTCAATTTATTAGTGTTAATATTTAAGGAATATAAACTAAATTATATTTAAGCTAGAAGCTGAGTCATAAAATTATGAAGGCAAACAGAGATGTATATTATAAAAAGGCATAAAAAGATATAAAAGAATTATTCCCCAAAACCCCCCATATAGCCATTTCCACACGGAAAATTATGCAGTTGAACTTCCAAAGCAGTTCCAGACTGTAATGGCTTCCAGTTTTCCATTAGAACAAGTTCACACACTATTCCAGAGTCTCTGCCATATATTCCGCACCCAAACTTTTAATTGTTTACCAGATTTCATCGGGAAAGGGGCCACAAACGTCATTAAATTGAAGTAGAGACAATTAACCTTTGCAGAGCTAACGAAACACCACCTTGCTATTTTTTGCGAAGTTGGCACCCTCTTCAGGATTTTAATTGGTGCTAGGCCGGTGCTTGTTAGTCCGAGGACCATCAGTTAGCGAGGTCTCGTTGAGGGAGGGGGGGGGGGGAGGTCTTACTGTGTCTGTGTTAGTTGAGAGAGAGAGAGGAGAGAAGGTGAGGAAGGAGGGGGGTGGGTGAGGCTAGAGAGGGAGGAGTTTGTGAGGTAAGGCAAAGGGAGGAGTTTGTGAGGTAAGGCAGAGGAGGTAGAGGTTTACCCATGCTGTTAAGGGGGTATAAGGGGAAATGGGGGGGGGGGGGTAAGAGGGGAAAGGGCTGGACAAATAAAAAGTGTGTTATGGGTTTATTCACTTTTTTCCCCCTCTGCTCCCTGTGGCTATTGATAGTGCCTGACTGTAAGGGAAAAAAGTCCAGAGAGAAGGTTGTGAAATGAAGTGTGTTGCTGATGGTAGGGTGATTCCTGCCACACACACACACACACACACACACACACACACACACACACACACACACACAGGCAGGACGGGACCAAAGGCTTTGAGGCGGGACCAAAGAGTCAAAGTTCAACCCTCGCAAGCACAACTAGGTGAACACACACACACACACACACACACACACACACATATATATATATATATATATATATATATATATATATATATATATATATATATATATGTATATATATATATATATATATATTTTGGTAGCAGTCTTTCCTGTAGACATTATTAATCTTACTTTTTCGGTCATATTTAATAATATATATATATATATATATATATATATATATATATATATATATATATATATATATATATATATATATATATTAGGCAGTGATGTGTTGGAGGCAGACTCCATACATAGTTTCAAATGTAGATATGATAGAACCCAGTAGGCTCAGGAATCTGTACACCAGTTGATTGACAGTTGAAAGGCGGGACCAAAGAGACAAAGCTCAACCCCCGCAAGCACAAATAGGTGAGTACAAATACACACACACACACACACACCCCAGGATGCAGACTCTAATACAAAATAGTATTAATTTATACTCGAGAAAATTACGGCTCAGATTATACATCACGTTAATATTTATGAGTGGGCCTTTTTGGTCTGGACTAGCATGACCTGAGAATTGATCGATTGATTGAAAAGAGAAAGATTGTTGGGCTTTGATTAGAATGAGCGGTTGGGTCTTGGGCGAGTGGCACTCTCTTCCCATCAATTTTCCATTTCCTGTTGGCTGCCATCTGATCACAGCGTCTATAAACCTCTCCTAAATAGCTGGAGGTGCGGGCTGCTGTTTATGTGGTCTACGGTTCGAGGCCCAAGTGAATGGAATAAAAATCGTCTACATAGATTTAGACAAATTTTATTCCTGTATGGAACATATTACATAAAGTTCGTCTTGATATGTCATCACAATTGGACGAATTTATTCTCCAGGCCCCAAATTCTCCCCCCTTTCCCACCTCCCCTACCCTCCTAAAAAAAAAAAAAAAGGCAGGGGACCCCAAGCTTACCCCATGGGTAAGCTTGAATACACATGACTTGGCTCACCTACGGAGTCAGGACCCTTGAGCTTATCACTTCAAAAAAAATTATTCATCGCATTTAACTTTCATTAATAACATTTTTCCAGGGCGTTTGCTATCCAAGAAGGGAGAAAAAAAATAAATTTTATATATTATTCCTCGTCTGTAAGTTTCCGTTCGTAGATGCGTAAAAAATGGCGGCGGAGAGAAGCCCTGAGCTGTAGGTGGCGCAGTGGTAGAGAATATATAGAGCGCATTACAAATATAAAGAAATGTAGCCAGAAAATGGTTAGAAATGTTTAGCTGTGCGTTCGTGCGTGTGGCCTTCTGGAATATATTTACATACCAAGTATGCCTGTACTTCCTGAGATGCTGTCCCGGGCTTTTTAACATATATTTTTTGCTCTTTTGGCCTGTTTTTTTTTGTTTATTTAGCGTTTTCTTGTTATTAGTATGTTAATTTATTTGTATACACATTGTTTTATGACTGTGAGGCATAACTTGCTAACTGGCAAAGCATATGTGACAGTCAGTAGTTGCAGCAGGTCTGTAGAAATTGAAATTGAAATTGAAATAAATTTTTGAGGTAAAATACACACAAAGGGATGAGGTAGCTCACGCTATTCTCACCCCGTTCAGTACATCGTGTTAATACATACATACAGGTCTGCAGGTGTGTCCATTCATTTGCAACAGTTGCTGTGTCTATCCAGCAATAAACAGATTGCAAGGATATCAAGCGTGGGTTGCTTCCTGGGCAGAAGCAGCAGTTGAACCTTGTTTTGGAGGTGTGGGGGGGGGGCCTGAAGGGGACCTCAACACAGGGCTAAAGTCATTCGACAAAACGAATTAAGAATTGACATGAGACAGCCTTACGGACTCTGGTAAGTGAGAGACCATTAGGAGTAACTGGACAAAGGGGTTGCGGACTTAAGTCTGAAATTGAATTGGCAGCCTTTTTGAGTGATAAGTGAGCCGGGTGGTTGACGCTCAAGAGAGAGCTAGGTAACTCACCCTCCAGGGGGAGCCTGGATCAGTCTGAAAATTTTCTTTTGTTGAAAGTTGTAACATTTTCTTTTGTTGAAAGTTGCAAAGTCAACGTGAGTCTGTCGTCTATGAAGATAGTTCATGCTGTGATCATTGAGAATCAACTATATAAAGGACTTAAGATTTAAAAACCACGAAGTCCTCTTTCAATTCCAAGGGTAAATAATTACAAAATCAGATGAATGCATGTTGATATCCACCATTCTTGATGCAATTTTTGCTATAGTGTCTTCTGGAACGTCTTGCATTTTTTAAGAGATAATCTTAGGATATTTTTCATTCTTTCTTTGAAAGGGTATTTTTGTTATCATTCTATTGCTGAACTTTTCAAAAGCGTTCCAGAAGATGACCTTTGAGTCTGTTATTGTTTGTGAGATTTTTAAAAGGCGATTTTAAAATGCTTCAGTCTTGGAAGCGATTCACGCAAACAATGAATGTCAGATCAATTTATAAGATATGGAGAACCCTAAGATTTTTAATGTAGTTAGTGAGCTCATCTGAGGTTCTAGACATTCATGTTTTCGTTTTTTGAATTGTAAATAATAATCTACCTTTTATATGATTCCCATTTCTCAATTTCTCAAGGTATTTGTATTCGGCTTTCATCGCTAAGATAACTTCTCAGAGGATTTTAGTTAAAAGCTAAGAATCTTGAAGATATTTGGGTAGATATCTAAAATGTTCTGTCTCGTATGTAGATAGTTGGTAGAGATAACTGTTGCTACACACAGAAATCACAATAGCGTGATGAACCATGTAGTGGCACAGTCGATTAAGGCGCGTTTGGGATCCTCTCGGACGTAGGTTCGAATCGTCATCACGGCCCTTGTGGATTTGTTCATAACTGTTGTTATTTTCATGCTCACATGAGATGCACGATTAATTATGCAATAACTAAGGCTAGTTACTCTGTTGAAAGTGCTGTTCACATATTTTCAATTGCAGGAAAATGTAATTTTGCATTTATAAATGATACAATTCTATTAAAGTGTGTCCTGGACGCTCCACTGAACTACGGGCTCACCATAGCCCGTGCTGCTTGGAACTTTTTGTTCCGAGTAGCGAATCTATAACAACAACAACAACAACGCTCCAGTGTGACAACAATACAATAGGCATTAAGATATAAATATAGCAAGTCTATTAATTTATAAATTGACGAAGCCTAACGATATATAAATTGACGAAGCCTATCGATATATAAATTTGACCTAATCTATTAATTTATAAATTTGAACAAGTCTATTGATGTCTGTAATAGACCAAGAGAGAGCCGGGACACTGTGTATACCTTCACAAGAGCCCCAGCTGTGTTCGGATAACCATCACTGAATGTCCGGATACCGATCATATACGTTCAGGTTTTCCAGTATCCTGTGACTGAACATGGCGGAGGAGGAAGAGGAGGGAGGGGGGGGGGTTAGAGGGGTTTTAGGGGGGTTTAGGGGGGTTTAAGGGGGGGTTTAAGGGTTGATTACTGGCGAATGATGGCTTTAGAACTGACGGCGCTCCCAGTTATGGTCCAGAATGTTGCATTTTTGTTAGTTAAGGAAGTTTGATGTAGGAGCCATTACTGAGATCAGAGGCGATGGCTAATACCTGTCGCTCAACAACAAAGGGCCCCTCTTGCTGATTCAATAAACTCACCCTTAGTCGCTTGTTCCCTCCTTT